AGAATGTATAGAGACACTTGTACACAGAACCTACTGGTACACTCTTATCTCCTTTCATAGCATGTTTCACAGTACTGACTTATCTTTTTCCTGATATTGGTGACACATTGATATACTTATCACATTTAATGAGTATGTTCTCATGGTGGGTTGAGAGATTGTCATTGTTTGTTATCTCATTCAAAATTGCGATAAGTTCAATCTTTTGTTCTTTTGGAGAATACTTTAAAGCATTGATCAACACTTCCACAAATTCTTTCGATACTTTCTGCAGTTTTTTCTCCTTACAAAATTTCTCTAACTGTAGTCATGAATTCTTGTGTCTCCTGATCTGTACTGGGTGTTTTGAAGTAGTAGCAAACACAAACCAGCAGTTCAACAACTATAAACACAGACGTCACCTTGTTACCCAGAACTGCGTCTGTGATATCTTGTTACAACTGTTCAGTCTATATATTTCTTGTTATCATACACCTCAGTAGACAGTAGTGCTCAACCTCCTATCTTCACTACGGGAACTGAGCAAGGAAGTTGTTTCCGTTGAGAGACGGAACATTTTAACCTCATATCATCTACCGACATGTCTGGTAGGGTTTGCATTCTTTCACAAGATAAAGTTCCTTGTTTTTTCGAAACTCAGGGCTAGATGCATCTGCTGGAGAAGATACTTCAAATTATCGTCCAGTTTCATCTTTCCTTCCAAGTTCACTAGAATAGTACGGAGGAACGGCTCAGTATTACTCCCTCCGAGAACTATCATATAGTCTATTTGAACGGTATCCTGTTCATCCAAACCTGTCATATACTCCAACACAAAATACGCGTTATCTTCGCATGTTAGTTCCCACAATAAAACGTTTATCATATCTTTATTATCCCATTTCCCGAGAATGGAAATGCATTCTTCAAACACAAACCGTTTCTCTTCATCCGTGCTTGCACATTCCACCTTCCTCTTTAACCACTGTTTACACTCTTCCTTCATCCAATCTATTACAAATACTTCGGCAAGTTTATATTTAGCTCCCTAAAGTTTCCGTTAACTACATTCCCCAGCTCCCTATCATCCAACAGAGTTATAAACAGCGTTACATTTTCCGCCAAGAAATCATCAAACTGAAGTTCCACTTGGTGCATCTCCTTTATTAGATAGCGAAACGTTGCACTATCACCAATAAGTAACTGCTTGGAAACATTCAGGGGATCTTCATCCTTTGCAGTATCAGGGGAATTGTTTCTTCCATAACTAGAAGTGGGAGTAATATACATTTCAATGATTTTTATATTACTTGATAGTACAAAAGTTGGGAGCGACTATTTGGTTATTTTAAGAAAATCGGACAATATTATTATACTGTATACAGTAATCATCAAAAACTGGCACAGATCGCAGCTCACGTTCGGCGACTGAAAATCAAAGTAAGGTACATTTAAGATCCAAGGTTGCTACACGTTGTATGCCTCTTGTGCAATGTGCACGCAAAGCGGCCGGAAATATTTTCGGCCCGAGAAGGGATTACAACTTGTATCAAATCCTCAGGTCATTATCCTTAACTATCTAGCCATCTCCAAGCCGACCAATCACACTAGGTTGCCTAGTCTGTTGTATCAAACTTCTGTCTTTATTTGTACCATACGACCAGTAATTGGTCGTTTGCACACAAATACTTTCCAATTCGGAAAAAAAAGTTTTTTAAAGCCGCGTTTATTAAAAATTGGTTGTTTGACGACAAAACAACATAATTTTTAATTTGGCGCCAGATTTAGCTATTTAAAATTGGTCAACGCGCGATGGATTTGCCCAAATTTACTATTCAAATCAGTGCTTCAGTAAATAACGTCAGTTGTCATAGTGACGACCAAAACCGAGAAACATCTGCTCACTTTTAATTTCCAGGATATAATCGTGAAATCAAAGTTGGAGTGATACAGTATTGTCAGTGTTTGACTGAAGCAAGCTTCACATCCGAGACCGATCTCCAGAAATCAATTTAATATTGTAGCTACCGGTCATTATCCTTGACTATAATGACCTTTTAATTCCCATTTCCCAGGATATAATGCTCATGAAATCATCTTGTCTGGAAAACAGTGTAAATGTAGAGCTGTACTTTAAAACCGTATTTTTAATATTCTTGCTTCGTTACCTTGATGCTATTAACTCTTAAATTTTCGGTTTGTCACTTCCTCTCCAGAGAAAGATGAGTCTGGCCAGGAGGTATCGTAGTTAAAGTTGGGATAGAAATGTAGTCTGGCTGAAGCAAGCTTCACATCCTAGAACCACTATTGAAATATCAATTTAATATTGAAGCCACCATCAAAAACGCCAAAGGCGACCATTTCAAACTAATCTTGACCTGGGATCAAATCCAAGGCTACAAGAACGCACAGAGAAAAAAACAACACAGAGTGATGACCTCACACAGTCGAGAGTAGCAGAGTCATGCAATGTTTGTAGTATAACACTCACAGCATTATGTGATCACAATCAGATCTCAGATAACTAAGCAGTTGACTACCGGTAGGCATTTTCAAGATTTTCATTTTATCAAAGATTTCTCCGGATTTTCAGCTTCCAGTACCTTGATGTTGGCTTGTGTCACTCACACTGACTGATTGGTCACTGGTAAAAATTTAGTCAAAAATGTGAAATTCGGGTCAAGGAAACAGCAGAAAAGGTTCTGTTTAAAAATCTACCAAATTGTGTATCCTTTTATTTTGACAAATTTCCTTTAATCGGAGCTTTCTTCGGTAATATAGCTTTCAGAACCTCAATTGTATCTTGTGCCATCCACAGTGAACTCCCTAATTGGTCATTGAAGAAAAAAAGGTCAAAACAGTGAAATTTAGGTTGAGGAAAGCTGATATTTGAAAATGTCCTGCCGGTAAAAATTCAGTCAATTCTCACCAGTGAAACAATAGATGAACTTGGAGAAGGTAGGCATGACTATTGCTCAGGTACTCCCCTTGCAAGTTGCATGCCTTTGGCATGTACGGAATTAAACAGGAATTAAACATGAAATGACCAAGGAGAACACTAACAAACTCGTCTACGTCTCACATCACTTGAGGCTTGATACGAGAACCCCCGTCCCTTATGTGATCGAGTAGAGAGATCACTTCTTAATTTATAGCTTCTATGTACAGAGTTGTCATGTGAACTCAACCCCAGATCTAGGCTCTAGACCATTTCTAGGTCAATTATATTCAATCCATGGATCACATATACGTCACTAATTGGTGACGTGATCTGACCCCTCTTGGGGGCTGGATCAGTTTCTTTACCTTAAGTCTCCCGTGGTCAAAACATTGAAATTTGGTGGTAAGCTTTGTTTCAAAAAGGCCACCCAATGAGAGGCGTCTGGAAAGATTTATACCTACCTATTGAACCTATTGAGAGGTTTAGAAGTGGTCATCTTCACGGCCATCACGCAATCTGCGGACCACCCCCTTGACTGCACCAGTCTATTATCGAGTTAGAGTCCCAGTGTCATACGCTAAATACCAAGTTTTGCTACTTCTCCCACGATGCTAAAATCTGCCAACTCAGTTTTTCTTTGTTAAAGCCAATTCTTCGTGCTATCGTTTTCTTTGATATTTTAATTTGATCGCTAGGATTTCATTTCACTGATAGTTTTATATTATTCTATAAACTGAGCAGGTCTATTCCTCTTCATTTCACAATTTCATTTGTTGATTGCAATGTAATGATGTTACATAATCTGATAATCATGAAAGATGAGCAATAAGCGGTCCAATTTCATACTTAAACGGTCTTCTTAGGGTGAAAATGGAATGCGCGAATAAGATTTTGTTGAATGATTTGCGCGAAGCGCGCGTTTTTGCCTTGTTGCCATGCCAAAAAACGACCGTTATTATTGCGTCAAAACATCTTGCATGACGAACCTTTGTTTGCTATTTGATTTCTGAGTTATTTCATGAAGCATTCAGCTCCACAAAGTTTACTTACATCTTTAACATAGCTAACCAACTTATTTTTTAGCAAGGCTGAGGCTTGTCTCCAATGGTGAGTTGCTTCAATGCTGTATGATGTTTAATGATGATTTTGTCACCTCTTTTTTTCTTCCCACTTTTTTCTGTTAGATTGCAGTCCTTAACTTTCGTAATTAATTATAATTAGAAATGTCATCTCAAATTTGAAAAGTAATAATGATTAAAACCTTCCAGGCTACCCAATACAAGAAGGCAGCTCAGATCGCGGGAAAGAAGAAACAAGGTCAGTTAACCATCGCCTTCATAAAACATTTCAACCTCGGTTGATTATATTTTTAAGTGTTCTGTGGTCGAAATGTTGCTGTATAACTGCCGCCTGTATAGGGTACATTATTGCGGAACCCTTTTTAGGTTAATAACGTATCGCTTTCCGTTCTCTTATCGGTTTATACAAACACCTTGATGGCTCCTTGGTCTCAGAACTGTGAAAAAGGAAGCTTATCTATGAAAATTGTTGGTTTCTCCAAAAAGCCTTTCTGCGATTTTTCGAATATGGAATTCCGTCTGCTGCGAGATTGCATTGAGTGGCTCATGATCTTCATATCACACTCGAAGCCTTCTTCTTGAGTGAGAGGATCAGAGGATGTCTTTGACTCTGTCATTGCTTTCTTGGCAACCACTGATAGCATGATTGTGGACTGACTCCACTCATCTAATATAAGACTCTGCGAGTACTAACATTCATCAATGGAAGGGTTGCGTGTGGCGTGGTGCAATGGTTGCTTCTGACAATATAATGTGGAAATAACTCGGTCTGAGCAGAAGCGCCGAGAGAATCAAGCTGTGAAAGAATTTTAAAACTATATCTTCCAAATAGTTTGTTTTCACCCATATTATGTAAATTGTAATGTTAACCAAATGCAGTGAGCGGTCAAAAAAGGACAAAAAGGGTTATTTTCATTTATCTGATCAGCATTCGTTCAAGTTCCAATAGTCTACATGTTTCTTTAAGTGATGTTGCTGAATTCTCGTAGACAAACCAACAGTCCGAGTCTTACTGAGCCCGTACAAACTCCCGTCTTTTTTTTTCCTATCATTACTTTTCCTATCATTATCTTTCCTGTCAAATCTTCTCTGATATTTTGCGTGTTGGCTCTTATCATTTAAATCTGCACGTGCACAAATTTCCCGTAACTTTGCCTAATAGCGGTTAGCATTGCAGGAGGGCCAACTCGCCGCTGGATCCCCAACAATGACCTGAAATCGCAAGCTCGTCGTAATAACAGGATCCGATCTCCGTCTCCACCATTCTTCATACACAACGAGACAACGCTGCCGTGCCCTCTGGCCGTCATCAAGCACACCAACAAAAACTGGCGCAAAGCATGTAATGAATATAATGTCACGTGATAATGTCACGTGATAGCTTGATGATAGGCTATCTGAATCCTGTTGTTGAACAATTTGCAAACTCTGTTTTTTGATTAGGGTGGGGTATGCCCTAGTTGGGGGGTCAAATCACTTTTTTCCCCTCTTAGTGGATAACTGAAACATGTTCCTGGGGGAGGACTCTGAAAAAAAAACCACAGAAAAAGCACCAAAACTTGGGCCGCTCACCCAACTTCCTTTTGGAATAATTTATTCAATCGGGCTAAAGCACCACACCATACAGTTAAAAAAACCACACCAGTAATGTATAAACCTAAAGACCGGAAAAAAATAATTTAAAATTCAGGAAAATTTTCGTTAAGTAAATTTTCCCAACAGATGGGGTGGTACCAGGGTAAAAAAAAATCAGAATGACAAACCAGATTTTCTAAACTACGTTAACTTATCGAAAGTCCCCAAAAACGTTTAACAAATTTATACTTCAAAAACCGCCGGAACCCCCTGTGTTTTTTTTGCTTGTAGCTTTTGCTTTGAATTTTTAATAACAATGTTAAACAATTGTTTTCCTGGTAATAAAAATCCACTCTTGGGGATTTGTCCCCGACCTTTGGGTTGCCCATGATCCTTAGTTTTATAGATTTAAGCTTCCCCCCTCGACATTTTCATCTCACGAGACCTTAAACCACCCAACTCACATATACCTAAAACCTGAAACCCGAAATGTAAAAGCACCTTTACACCCCCCCTAAAATCCGGTGAGTTAAAAATGTCCCGTAGGTTGTAAACCCACTATGTGTGTTTTTCCCCCAATCTCATGTGTGGGTCTGGGGTGGGAACAATATTAATTTTTTTGTGAATAAAACCTTACCTGGTTTATGTGAATTCCCAATCCTACCGGTTAAACAACCAAATTATCCCTGTGGATCTATCAAAGGTATGGCACCATCAGGAAAAACCCCCCCAATGTTTAGAAGCTATTTAACCAGAAAAGAACAAAGAAAACAAGGAACAATCAAGAAGAAGCCCGTTTTGATTTGGTTTGTCGAACACTGAATGGTAAGTGGTAACTATTGAATGCTAAGGAGTTTTGAAAGGTTTTTAAAACTATGGTTATGAAACTTTGGCCTTTTTTTCCCTTTTTTATTTGGTGTCGGTTATGGCGAATCCCATAAAATAAACCCCTCAATTAAGCAGCTTATAACAAGCAAGTTATGGAACTGGGCCAAGGTTTTTATTCAATGGGATGAATTCTCCCTTTTTTTGACCACCTTACTTTTTTTTTGGAGTGTTCCCCCCCAGGAAGGTAACCAAAGCCTTATAGAAATACGGGCCCTCCGAATGGGAATTAATCTAATATCCCATTTTTTTGTACGCTTTAAAAAAAAATCCACGCCGTCCAAAATTTTTCCTTCAAAAATGAGGTCCCCCCTTTCGTAAATAGTAAATGAACGTTTTTGGTTCCCCCCTCCAGGTTTTTGCCCATTCCCGAAGCAACTCGGGTTTTGAAAAAACAAAAAGAAATGAAAGAAAATAAAAAAAGATTGGATTAGTGGGGAAAAATCGACAAGGGATGGCCTCCTGGATACTATGCGCCGATTTCAACGATTTTCCCTCCCTCCCTCATGCAATACACCCCCACCTAAAAAAATGGTAAAGTATACTTTTAAGGTTGTTTTTGAAAGTGTTTTTATTTTTTTACCCTGTACCGGTTGGGGACTCCGGGGAGGGGCAATGGGGTCCCTATAATCGTTTTTTTTTTTTTAAATTCTGGTAATCATGGTTTTTTGTGAAAACCGATCCTCTATTTTAAAAATACCCATTTTTAAAAAACATTTTTATTCTTCTTTGAAAAATTATTCACAAAGCCTCAAAAAAAAATCCCCCCCCCCCCAGACAGAAAAAAAAGAAGACAGCAAGGAAAACATCCTGGCAATGGAGCCCGGTAATCAGACTTTTTCGATTGACGACGAAAAGGGCAAAATTTTCTTTTCAAAAACATCCTAAAAAAGAAGTGGCGTACGATTTTTTTTTGGGAAGAAAAAATCCTACCCGGTACAAAACAAAATATCCAAAATTGGGACCCGTAAAAGCCCCCCTTTAATTTCCCGCGCTAGAGGTTAAGGTCAGGTGAAAGGGGGGGTATGTGTGTTGATCGTTGTCGAGTCGTCTCGGAGGGCATAATAATTATACAGATCCTGCGAAATTTTGGTTTGAACATAGACTCCCAAATTGCAGGAGCAAGTTTTTTTTCCCCTTTTTCCCCCTCCCCCCTGATTGGGCCGTGTCCCCAAACTACCCCAAGTTTTGTTGAAAAGATGCCCCCCAAAAAGTAATTTTATCCAGTCCCCCCTTTCCTATTACAGTGTGTATGGTTCCCCCTGCTGGGGAGAAATGTGTTGCAAGTGAAGTTGGGTAAGAAAGAGAGGGATAATGAAAAAGGAATAAAAAGTTTGTGTAGAAGGAGAAAGGTGGGGGGGTTTATGTGAGAATGTGAGCTTTTGGTTTTTATCCTAATAAATAAGCACTTAACCAACTATATTTAAAAATAACAAATTAGCAACAATTAAAAAAAATTTTCATGTGGGAAATAACGGGATTTTTAGTTAAATAAAAAAAAATTTGTGTCCGATGGGTGCTCATATACTCGTTACTATGTAGAGGGGGCTTTTATAAAGGCCACCCCCGGGAGGATGTAAATGCCAAATATGTTACATTTATTGGTTCCCCCCCTGGGGTTTAGTTTGATCGGGTAGTCCCCGCCAAACTGCAATCTGTGTGGCACAAAAATATAACAACCTGGCAGAATCGGCGGGGCCGGACCCCTAGTTTTTTTTAAAGGTTATTCCATTAGTATCTTAAAAAGGTGAACAGGACTCATCTACACAGGTTGGTTCATTGGTCTGAATCTGCATGTTTTTTACTATCATAGTGCGGTGTAAATGGTTACAGATGAAGAGGTTACAAGAGATAAAATAGAAACCAGGGCTACAGAGGATATACATATCTATGGTGACAGACATGTAAACCGTGTTGTGTCTATATATACACGAAAGGATGTAAGCGGGAAGCGTGGGAGGGGGGCGCGGGCGGGCTGTGAGAGGGGTTTTATTCCCCGTCGATCGATAGGGGGATGATATCGATATCAGTAAGACTCTATACACAGAGTGAGTAGTCTCCGGCTATGCAGGGATAGGACCCTATAAAAAATTCTTGAAAATAAAACGCGTTTTTTAATTATGGGACCCGTCCAGGAAAACGTATTTTGGAGACTTAGCACCCCCCCCCCCCCCGACGTGGTGTTTGGGCCGAACAATGGATTCGGGGCAGCTAAAATTTCTTTAGGAAAGCCAGGACAAGAAAATTTCAATCATTCCAAGACAAGCCAATTTTTTTTTGGTCTTGTAAATTTCTGTTTCCAATCACTAAAAGATAATAATTAGTTGTGGGAAGAAGTATGTGGAAATTTTTATGGGAAGCTGGGAAAATTGGGGTGTCTGGTGGGGACACCGTGGAAGCAGAGATAATTGGTTTTATTTGACAAATTGACCCAAGTGTTCCCTCCAACAGAAAATAGGCTTTGATCCAAATTCCCTCAAATTGAAAAAGGTTTTCCTTCTTGGATTATCCCGCTGGTTTGAACTAGAACAGTTTTTGAATGCAATTTTTAATTAAACAATCACTTTTGCCCCCCCCCTCCCCCCCCTAATTTTCCCAAATTAAACCTTGCTTTTGGAATAATTAAAATTGTGGCCCGTGCTTTGGTCAAAATTGTAAGTCCCACCAGCTCCGGTCAAAATCCCAGCACGAAGCAATAAAATGGGATCCCCCCCCCCTGGGTGTATGGTGGGTGACCTCGGTTAAAAGTTTTCTTGGTTTTTATGTTATTGAACTTTTCGGGAAAATGTGTTTTGTTTTTTTTTTAATTGATTTAAGAATAGGCGCAATCAAAAGAAGTTCCCCCCAAACGTTTTTTATGAGCATTATACAAAAAAAACCAAAAAAATCCCAACCACCAAATCCGACCCCTATAATAATAATTATTTTGTTTCAAATGGAAATGTGTTGAAGAATGGATAATTTTTTAAATTAAAATCCCTAATAATATATTTTTTTTTTTTAATTGTAAATCACCAAGAAACTCCCCAGATACCTGAAAAACTCTCTTTCCTAACCAAAAAGGTATATATTCCCCGTGGAATATAAACCTGACAGTTGCCAAAAAAAGGAGTCACCCCCTGGGGGGTCCCCGGGCAACTTTTTTTTTAATATGGCCAAATATAAAATTGAAGGTGTATTAAAACTCGATTATTCTACAGAAGACAACGGCCGGCGGTGGCACCGAAATTGGCTCCCCAATTTTTTTTTTGTTTTCGGTTTGAAAAAAAAACTAAAAGTGTTTTTGCGTTTTCGCCGACAAATAGTTTTTTCCTTTGCGGCCCCCCATTTTCCCCCCACTCTCTGTCGCCCCTTTTCGCGGTACAAAAACTCCTTTTTCCACTTCCTTTCTCTTGCTGAATCGCAAGCCTATATACGTGGACAAGGTGGGGGATGAAATAAATCGAGCAAATTTAAATAGGAAATCACCAATAGACTGGACGGGTCCCCCCTAGCCGAGCTAGGTAAATATGGTAAAGTAAAACAGAATGAATACTTCCCCGTCCCTAACTCTTTTCGAAGTAAGCCGCCGACTCTAAAGCAAAGCTTTAGAAAACTACTTTTGTCAAATTTGGTAACAAAAGCAAGCCCGGATGGCTTTTTTGGTGCAGAGGTTCCCCCCCCGCGTGGCCCCACTTTAACCTCCCCATGGCCCTGAGCATGGGTGGAGCTGGGGGTTAAGTGTTAATACACAAACTAACCAGCCCGGGTGCCAACTAACATCGGTGGTAAAAGCCCCACCATGGGTACACATGGTAGCAAACAAAAATCCCCCTCGGGCCATTAAAATAATTTCAAAAACAAAGAATTATTTTAAAAAACCGGCTGGCTTCAATA